CTGAAGCCTGAAGTACAAAAAATATTAAACTGATGGTCGTGATGGTGTGATGGTGTGAGCTTTATCTGTAGATAACCTGTGCATTGTCTAGAACCCTAAGGCCCAACAACATGGACTGGATAAGTAAACTACCTAACTGACCTCATCAATACGTCCTCCAGCACTAAATGATTCCTATGGTCATTTGCTCCTGCAGTGTCACAAAGTAAGACACCAGCTGGAAGGTGTGACTTCACTTTATTAGCTGCAGGAAAACTAATGTGGTCGCCTGCCAGTCATGATGTCACAGCAGTGCCTGTTTTCCTCTTCTTCCACCTTGACCTTCCCATCTAACCACAGAGCTCCACTTGGTGATGATGATGGACACCACATACCCCCTTGATAAGGAAACGCATACAGAACTAAACAGAATCACTACTGATACATTATAGGGACCTGCTCTTTAAAACATTGCTCCAAGGCCACACTAGTGGCTGAGGGATCAAATAGGTATCTTTAACACGTACCAATGATGTATCAAAAGTGTATTCACAGTTAGAGTATTCAGAAATACGAAGCCTTCTTTGTCCAGAACGGGACAGTGTGCTTTGGTCTGGTTTGGTGGTTGTTGCTGTCATCACTTGTGTGGGCTGGATTCTGGCTGCCTGTCCTCGACGGACATCATGTTTAGTCTCTGAAAGATACACAAGTGTGTAAATGAAAAGTCTGTTGGAAGTGTGGCTCAAAAGAAACGACGCCTTAGGGTGGATGTAAGAAAGACTGAAAAATAAAGGTGTGTGAAGATGTAGGAGGGTAAAATCTCAGACTTCTGCCTAAATATTAAGACCAATGATGCTTAGCTTTGTTGGTCTCTGCTTGCAGTTCTTAATCATGCACATAAATAATGTTAAACATTTTCAGATGAAAATCAGTCAAACCTTAGATACAGTAAAGCCTGTGTTACCGTGAAAACTAGTGAAACATTACGTGGTTCTCCATAGCTGAGTTGTTCTTAACAGCGTTCTTCATAAATGAGGCCACAGGACTCCTCAACAGAGATACATAATTGGATTGATGCATCTGCACCGGTGAAGGGCTCCAGCAGTCTGGCCTCTCGACTGAAACATTATTCTGAAAAATTTGATTTGGTTTAAAAAGTCCACGATACAATATTTATCACAATGTTAAAAAAGGACAAAAAAACATGACTTGGAAAAAATGAATCTTCTTCTTCTTTAATAAAGTAAAAGTGGCCAGCTAAGACCTATTGTATGTGAGTGTAAAAATAGGCATGCATTGTGTTTGGCAGTGCATTTTGAGCTGTTGTATATTAGCAAAACAGAAAATAATGCAGCAGTCAGTAACAGTCCTTTAATAAAATAAAATAAAAATAATATACCCTGGATAAATGAAACAGGTCCCACTCACAGGGGAACAGGTTGAACTTTCTCTGTTTGGTGGAATGTTCTCAGGACTGTCAGGGACTTACTTTTTCAAGAGAAAAGACTTGACGGGTTGTGAACAAGTGGCTGGTTTTGCATGTGTGAATCCAGTTTGTTTACCCGTTTCCGTCAAAGTGTAGTGCACAGCTGTCTCCGACTAGTTCGGGGAGATGTATCTAGGACTGTCCCAGTCCCAAACAGTGTTACCGCTGACCGTTGTATGCGAGTATTTGAAAATTGTTTTGTGTTTGTCAGTTTCCTTTTTGCCCAAGTCATTTCCTGAAACACAAAATCCGAAATTCTGCCACACAAAAGCTCTGGAGCGTCCGTATTTTCAATTCAAATTCTGTACCCTGAAGGTATATTATCGAAATACCACTGTTGAGTTATACTCTAACTTAATATACAATATGCTAAGTTCTTCTGCAGGATATAAGTGTTATCAATTTTATATTCACATAAAATTGAGTTTGCAAGTAACTGTGCAACCTTAGTAATTTTACTATGAAGTGAACTTTGTTTTGGAGACATTGTAAATTGGATTAAGGAGCATTGTCTTGCATATTCTTATATGTTTATAAGGCCGTTTTTAGAACCTGATAACTTTTCACTGTTGCTCCAACTCACAACAGTCTCCAAGTCTCCTTTTAAATGTCATGAATCCTTTGTAATTCTTGAATTTGACACAATTAAAGTATATTGACAGTAACTGAATCGTGTGTAACTGTGTTTGCATATGTTTAAGCTGAGCATTTAGCAATTGATCATTTCATTGATACAAGTTTCTCTGACTGAAATATGATTAAGTAAGAATATTGTAGTCAAAGTAAATATTCAACCAGCCAAAATAAAGAATACCTTGGAAAGTAAAGCTCTGTTTCTGTACACTTGAGCAAGCTTTGACAGGTAGTTTTTATCTAAAGTCATGTGTCTTCTATGGGTCAGTCCAATTCAGCTATGCAGTGTTTTAGTTCGATAAGAGGCAGAAATAGCAAAGAGTAACCTTTTGTAACCTAAATTCACCATCTCCTCTGTGTCTCCTACCTCATTTCCTTATTTTCCTTGGTCGTGTTTCACTCCCAGGCAAGTCTTCAGCCAGCACTCCTCCCTCTGATTGTGCTTGGTTTTTGCATGGAGACCTGCTGAGGGGTTTTTGACTTGATAAAGACGTGCTGTGTTTGTTCTGCTAGCACACAGGCCCATGGTGTGAATGTGATTCATCTGGGTGATTTAGCCCATTAAATGGCTCTATGAAAAGAACCTGGACAGGGCTGATGAAACCTGAAGGTGCTGGTTTGGTGCAAATTAAACTAATTCAACTTTTAGTTGGTTTCCCACAGACATCCAGTCCTTTCTCATAAATAGCTTTTGCCGCATTAGCTTCAGTCACACACTCGGTGTTTAAATGCGCACAGGAAACCTCAGGGAATCAGATATGTTTATATCTAGTGTAGTAAGTCATTGTATACAGTAGGTTGGCAGTCACATTTCTCACCAACTCGAACCTTATTTCACCTGTAGTAGCGATACATCATGTGGCTTTTTGATTTCTCTCTCTCTCTGTGTGTGTGTGTGTGTGTCAGAGGGCTGATACAACAGTGAGAAGACAGATTCTATAGTGAGAGTACAGCTTTTCTCTCCATCCAAATAATATTACAAATAGTTAAATGTTACAGCAGAAGCTGATTTGTTTTTAGAGATGTTTGAGTTTCAGTTTCAGACAAACTTTGGATGGAATTGTTTTCACTGTGAACTAGGGATGGGATGATGGGACTTCTTCTCGATACAATCTGATGCACGATATGGTCCGTACGATTTGATTCAATCAAGATACAGTTAAAAAGCCAATGTATGAATATTTGTACTTTATTCCTCCTTTTCTAGCACTGGTTTGGTTATGTATAGAACAATATTGACGTAACCTCTGTTAGCCTAGCTTATTTATAAAAACAGATGGAGACCACATGATGCATATCGCTAGACAAAATGATGCACATTGTGACAGTTTTGTATCATGATATATTGAATTTCAATATATTGTCCCATCCCTAACATGAGCATACATCACTGTGTCTCATAATCTTTCCTTTCATCCAAGAGAAATCTAGCAAAGGAAATAAAGTTTTTCTAATCCACCATCATCAAAAACAGATTTCTCTTCTATATGAACTTTAAGAAATCAGACTACTGGAGACATTGATTGTAAATCCTGCTACTTAATGCACTGAATGAGTATTCTTAGGGTCTGGGGATCTTATGCCACATTCTGGCACAGATGCTTTCAGATTATGCCCAATGACCATATAGCCCAGTGTCTCTTTGGGGCTCGATGCTCAGGGCAGTTTTACTCAGTCTACTTCATCACGGTTTTGAACTGAACTTTCTGTACTTTATATTAAGGTGGTAATCCTCGTTTTGGGCCTTTGACAGCAATACAAAGTGCTTGTTTTTTGTGCCACTTTGTGTTATAGAATACATGATGTAAGGCAATAAGAAGCTTTCCAGGCTCCCTGCTACGGCACAGACTGTGTGCTAACTCTGCTGCTGCTCAGTCTGTTTTGATTGAACCTGTAATTTATACCACAGGATCAGCCAGTATTCTGTCATTTAAGAAATATGTCAGAAATGTCCAGACTCTCAGCTTCAGATATGTCAGCCAAGGGTAACTCATTTTGTTCTGCATCAGAGCAGTGTCACTGATGCTGTCTGCCTTGTCGCAATCATGTATGGCCAAACATTCAAGCCAGTAACGTGCGAATTGTCTGTAGCTCTGCTGAGTCCTTTAATTAGCGGAGACACTGTCTTGTTGAGGCTGCACAAAGATATTCTGATGGATGTTGTGTCAGGATCAAGGTTGAGATGCCCTGTTTTTGCTGCAGGCAGAGGCACACAAGTGGAGCAGAAATCGAGTGCTTTACTCTCATTTAGAGGGGAAACAGCTGCAGGCCTGCAAAACACATATCACACGCACATTTCTTCCTTTCTTTCTCACCACCTTTTTCAAGCATGTTGTATCTTTATTCTCCTTATTTAAAGTTTATACATACTTCACTTTCAGACTGAACAATTTACCAAAATAGCTCTGTAGTAAGTGAGGTGTGTTTTGTATTGTCACATTGACTGTATGGCAGATAAATCTGTTTATTAGGGCTTGAGTAAAATAGTTTACAGTACTCACAGAGACAATGACACGATTAGTATATAGTGCCATGATGTTTCTGCACACTTGACCCCAGATGTTAGGAACTGTACATGATTTGATAAACTGCATAGAAGTTGGCTGTGTTCTTATAGTGATAGAAGTAGGGTCAGTGAATCAGTCTTAGATACAGACTAGTTACTCTGGTCAACTTCAGGGGGAAGGTTAATGCTCAGCAGGACATACAGTTTAACAGGACTGAGTACTAATGGTCAACGACCAGTTGTGGTTTATGTTGGTAACGTACAACAGGAAGGAGAGAAATAATGTCCTGGGCAGGATTTGAACTGGGGACTAAACATGTGAATCAGGCTTTGACTTGTGGCTCACATCGATAAACCTTAGTGAGCTCACTCTTTTTCTCTCACCCTCTTCCACAGATAGTGTCTAACGTGCTAATCTTCTCCTGTACCAATATTGTGGGGGTTTGCACCCATTACCCCGCCGAGGGCTCCCAGAGGCAGGCCTTCCGGGAGACCAGGGAATGCATCCAGGCTCGCCTGCACTCCCAGAGGGAAAACCAGCAGCAGGTGAGAGGAAAGGGGTTTTAGTGCTAGATGAGGACCAAACAGCACTGGAAACATTAGTGACTAAATCAAATGAATAAACAGAGATCTGTTTTTTCTACATCTGTTAAGCTGTGCTAGGTAATTGCTAGAACCATAATGGTTTAATCACTGTAAGGCCTTCATTACCAGTGGGAGCGGGACAGTGATTATGTTAAACATATTCAGGCATGTTGGTCTCTCTGCCTCCCCTCCACCTCCTTATTTCTGTATCCTTGTCAGCTGAACTTAGTTTTCCCCCACACTTTGCTGCAGGAACGTCTCCTGCTCTCAGTGCTTCCTCGCCATGTTGCCATGGAGATGAAAGCGGATATAAACGCCAAGCAGGAGGACATGATGTTTCATAAGATCTACATCCAGAAGCATGACAACGTCAGGTAACATCAGGGGCTGTTGTCTCTCAAAAAGATAACACCCCCACACATCACTACACACACACACCACTGTGTGTTTTCCTCATCAAGCACAATCTGAAAATTAACATTCAGCATTTTTCTTTTCTACAAAAGTTTCAGGTTTTACTGAGTTTTGGCCATGAGGCGAGAGAAATTTGACTTAAACTCACAACAGTAGGCTGTTGTATCCAGTAGTACTACCAATTATTAATCAAGCTATTTATAGCTATTTATAGGGTTTGACAGATAAATGATAGTAAGTCAGAATCAAATCAGATTTTATTTGTATAGTACCAAATCACAACAAAAGTCATCTCAGGACACTTTACAAACTAAGGTCTAGACCTAAGTATTATTAATATAGATGAAAAACCCAACAAATCCCCCTTGAGCAAGCACTTGGAGACAGTGGGGAGGAAAAACTCCCTTTAACGGAAGAAACCTCCGACAGACCCCGGCTCTTGGTGGGCGGCCTTCTGCCTCGACCGGTTGGGGTGAGTGGATAGAGGAGAGACAAAAGAAGAAAAGCAACAAGACACAACAATCAAACACTGATCAGGTCGATGTGGCCGGTGACTGCT